ATTATGAGCAGGTAATCAACTCCTGAAGAAAGCAAACAAAGTAGTGTAGTTTTTCCACCTTTGCTCCCACATAAAGCCCAAATAAGCAAAGTCAGCGTTTTTCTTTATTCCTAAATTACCATACGCAGTTAGCTTATTGGCTCTCTCTGAGGATGAATTAATCTGTTGTCCATTCCTTCATTCAAATCACGCTTTTACTTTACTACCGCTGCAATTTAGTAACTAATATTTTTTTCTTTTCCAAAAAAGTATAGGAAACCTTATTCTTGAGCCGTACAAATAATACTTTATGTGCTAAAAAAAGGTCTCCATATTACCAATACAATGCCTTCTTAAAATCACACTATATATATTTTTATTTTTCAGTTAATTTCCATCAGTACTTTCACATCGAGCCTCACCTTCTTCTCCACCATTTTCACCACCCTCTGAAGACGCCATCTTGGAAACTGAAGCTTGTCCCTACTTCTCACTCTGAGTGGGCAGAGCGGTGTTGTTCCTAAATATCGCTTACGCAGCATCGCCTACTCAGCAGTTACCACCTGGTCACATTCACTGACCCACCTGAGCTCCTTCAGCTGCCGGTGTCATCTTTCTAAACTATACCTCTGAAGCACTTGCCTAGTGCCTAAAAGGCTCTGGATTCAATATCCAGTACTGAAAAGAAAATGAGGGAAGGATTAAACTTCTCAGTCTCCCTAACTGCTTTTGTCTCAAGCAGTACAAAGCTTTTCTCAAACTCTTCAAAAAACAACTAAGGCTAAAGTGTTAAGGTTTTTCTCTGCTGGTGACTTTGCTCATGCATTCACTCTGCCTCCTGTAACAGCCACCCACCCCTTCCTGAGCATCTCTCAAATGTTCCTCCTCCAAGGAGCCTTTCATGCTGTGCCAGCTGGAGATTATCGCTTTCTTCTTTGATTCATCCACAGCATTTATCTGTCCCTCTTTTATTACGTAAATCTTATGCACCAGTGTATTATGCTGAATTATACGCTTAGTGGTTTTTCCCTTTATTTGTTTTGTTTTTACAGCGTTGTTTATACTCTAAGGACAAAGCCTTCAATCTCTGGATTGCCTCTCTCATGCAGGGACCTCAACATTTTAAGAATTAATTTACTCAGTTGACTTGAATTCAGAGGAATAGCCAACAAATTTTACTCTATGTGTGAGTCTTACAATTCCATTCTTTTGGTGATAATTCTCATTCTAAGAAACTAGTGTGGTTTGCGGTTTAGAGTCATAGTTTAAGCTGCCCTTAGAAGAATGAAAAACAGCTGGTGTCCAAGGAGTTCTGGAAATTAGTCAATAAACTAATTGTAGAACAGAAGCCAAGAATAAAGCAGTTGTACTTGCACGGTTAAAGCCCTAGCTATATTACTACTTATGTGAAAAGACACTGCTGTACAAAGTGAAATATTTCGAACAATGTGCTTTTTCATTACAATCATGGACCATATATACAAAGAAAATATTATTGCCAACATGCTGGTATTCAGATTGCCTTTGTTTTATTCGGTCAATTGTACATAGCAAAGTATTTAAGGAAGATCAAGTTAATTTGAAGAGATATTTTAGAATTCATGAAATTTGCTTTTATTTCAGGTGTGTGGGATAAGCTATCATAATGAAGAAGCTATTAGACTGCTTAGAATAGTATCAAAATTCCTGCAGTTTATAAACATATAACAGTAAGAATTTCAACTCAATGCAACAAATAAAGGCTGTTCATTATGTATACTTAAGTAATTGCCCAAGAAAAGAGAGACACAAAGTCAAAAACTTAGCACCCTGGAAGCTTAAAGCTGAGAAGTTAGCAAGAAAAGCACAAATAATTGTAACTATGTTGGATTGTAATGACAGCAATGATAGCCAGGATTTTCAAAGGAGAAATCACAGGTGGGCATAAGAAATACCATTAAAAGTTCCAAGATTCTGATATCAAAGGCTTGAAAGATAAGAAGATAAATGCGTATATAAGATGCTCGAGGGAGAGAACGTGGAACAGGAAGGCTCAGAGAGCTGCAGACGAGAGGTTACAAATCAGGCGAGGGTGATTAGAAAAAGCCCTGCACCAAAGGCAGTCTTCTGCGAAGCTCTCTCCGAGGATAACATGGACCCAGGGCTGCTGACTCAGCACAGATGTTTGTGAGGTGGTCACAGCAGGGCTTGCTACGAGATCCTTGGTACAGATTAGGAACTGAGCTAGCTTGCCAGCTTCTTTCGATCCAAATCCGTGCTGAGCAAGTTAAAATAAAGCAAACTGTATCCAACAGAGATCTGTAGTTTTCACCTAGCTTAGAGAATTAAACCACGTACTGTGCTACTGTGACCTAAAATCTACCTGTTACGCTTCCCACCGAGTTTCCTTATGAGAGGTCTGGATGAAGCACATCCATTGGTCAGATTGTTCAGAGCTGAGTCCTTCCAGCTAAGGATTTCACTAAAGGGAGCATGTTTTCCTAGAGCTAATCAACTTTCTTCCACTTCTGATCCCCTTCTGTTTACTCCACCCTCTCCTAGCGGCGGGGCCCCCTCCTTCACCATCCCCACACCAGTCTCTACATCCTCATTATACCCCCAATGACTGGAATAAAGATAATATGCAGTAAATGCTTAATAAATGTTCGCTTTATAAATATATGTGTGAGTGATCTATATGTCAAGTATTTACATAAATATTTCAGATATCTGTATATTGACTGATAGAACTTACTGTTCTGGCTACTATTTCTCATTACTTTCACAGAATTAAGGAAAATTTATAAATACCTACCGTGTAATTAGCACTTCTCTGGTTCTTGAAAAATAAGAGAGTTTTGAGAGTTGAGAAGAAAATAATGAGAGAATAACAGGTAGAAAATGAGGACTCCATGATTTTGTTTGGCATTTTAAGGGAGGAAACAAAGATAGCCTGACACTGTGAGCGGGCTCCCTGAGTGTGGCATGCTCCCAGTCTGAATACAGCTTTGGAATTATGAACACCTAAATTCTCATCCCAGGAACACCACGCATTATCCATATCGCCTCGTCTTAGTTGTTAACTTTTCAGGGTCAAGTGACTCCATTTGTAAAATAAAGATCACAGTCTTCTCCTCTCCTGGAGAGCATGAGCTACCAAACAAGATCACCCGTGGAAACTATGCAAAGGCCCTGGCACACAGGAGAAATGAAATAAATGCACATGGAAAGGACTGATTCTTGCAAAGTGGAAGAAAATAGAACTACAAAAAATGTGGCATGCCCACCTATCTCTACAGTATTTTAGCCATCTGTGCTTTTGCTCATGGTAAGACCTCTGTCCTCAATATCTTTAAAATAGTAAATTGCATTTGTGATTGGTTGATGTTTATGAATACTACTATTCCTATTTTAGGGAAAGGGATAGGAAAACTGAGCCTTGCACGTGTTAGGTAACATGTGCAAGCCCATAAATTAAGCAGAGGGTAACCTAGATGAGTTTGCTTCCAAAGCCAGTTTAGTGCTCTTGGTCCTTACCTGTCAGCACAGCCACACCATCTCTGTCAGAAAGTTATCCCTAAACAGTCAGGGTATTACCCCTTTCTGAGCCCACACAGAGCCTAATGTGTATTTCTTTCATAACCCATACAATTTTAATAAACTCATTTGCTCCTCTTCTCTTTACTTATCTACTAGAAAAACTTCTATAAAGATAACTTTCCTATTTTGGGATCTTGAATGGGTGTTCACTGTACATCTTTCACAAAAAGTTCAAAGAAACCCATAAAAGCTCATGTTTATTAAACATCTCTCTGTCAGAGACTCTGATGGATTACTCCTCTATTTGTATATTCCTTACAAAACTATGTGGTAGACACTACCTTTATCCTCCTCTTAGAAATGAGGTACAGAGTTCACACAGCTTGTAATCCAGAAGTAGGATCTGAATGCAAGCATTTAAATTCCAGAGCCTATAAATGTAATCGTGAGAGCATACTGCTTATCACTCAGCAGGACTGATTACGTTTCCTCTTCCTTTAAAACATTCCAGAAAAATGCATTTTCACAGTCTAAATTGGACTTCTATGACCTATGACATAATATGACAGGTCTTTGTTTTTCCTGTGATATGGGTACCTATAATTAGACTTTAAAAATGTATTTACAGAAAATAGATGAATCTAGAATCTGATAGGAATCTCAAATTTTAGCTAGTGGTGCCCATGCCCCAAGCCAGTGTGGAAAAACCCTTTGGGGGTCTCCACTGCCTCAGCACAGGCTTCACTGTGTACTTTTGAAGCTGCAGTACTTTCACACATAACCTTGCACAAATTCCAAACTAAAAACAAACTCTAACAAGACTCGTTTTAATACCAACTTAATTTTTTTACTGAAAAAAGTGGTCTAAACACAGAGAGTCTATTTTTAAGACAGGGCAAAGAATGCGTTCATGGCAAGTTGGAACAGTGCACAATTGCACTGGCTTTGCTGTTATCTCAATGACAAAGCATTAAATCACAAGGAAGAAAAGTCAGCATGTTCTCTTAGAATGCAAATAGATTAGTGCTAATACGAGCTTTGTCCAAGAAAGGGAAGAGACACCTACCCACGCATAAATCGGGCACACGAAACCTATAATTTCAAGAAATATTTTCAAGAAATGTTTGAGTTGATAAATGTGACTACTGGATACAGAAAGCCCAGAAAAGATTCCATATGATTTTTTTTTTAAGGAGTCCTTCCAAATGTGATCAGTCAACTCTTGATCTCTGCTCCTTGAGATGTGTTTCATCAATAGTTAGGAGATTCACAGAAGAGGAATTTATGGAGATACACAAACACACACACACACACACACACACACACACAGAGTCTATGATGGGATAGCATTTAACATTATTAGGCACCTAAAATTTTACTATGCTAAAATGTAAAAAGTCCATATCATTCAACATATAGACACTTCTGGTCTTTTAGGTCCTTCCAATACACAAATAAAAGCTTTCTCACTCAGAACTCAAAAAAAAAAGTATTCCTCTTACCATATATTCCATATTTGCTGCCGGTGGGAATACTTTGCCCCGAACTTGATTATGATAATCAAGAATGGCGATCATATCATTCTGCGAAATGTAGCGCTTCCGCCTGGCTTTGGGAATATCCGTTGAATCTAGTGGTGCGTTTAGAGTTGCTTCAATATCAGCGAAATTATTGGTTGGCGGAGATGAGTCAGTGGAATTGAGTAAGACGACAGTACTTGCTTCACAGAGAAGGGAGAACAGGAGCGCACTGCTGACGGCAGAGATTGCTATCATTTTGAGGAGTGAAGAGGCCACCGAGCTTACTTTGCTTCAAAGCAGAAAGGTAGAGTTAGGGTCTTTGAAAACAGACGGGGCCACGGGGTCTGAATCTACAGATTCGTTAGGGAGAATTACTTGATTTGACTTTCTGCAAAAAAATCCAAACAAATGTTTTACAATTTAGAGTAGAATCTCTATTCATTTTGCTGATTTATGTGGCAGATCCCTAAGAGGAACTTCCTAAAGCTAGAGAAAACTAAACAGCATGACCACTAGCCCTAACATAAATGTGAACAGTTGCCCCAAATACCTAAACTAGCAAGTGCATTGCTGTCAGTTTATTTTCAGTGGGAAATCTTTAAGAATTGAAGTTCACCTTGAGAATGAAGAAGAAAAAAATCCCCTGCAGGTTACAACAGAGAATCTTCTGATAATGTCTCCCAGGCATATATATATGTACACAACTTGATAGAACACATACAAAAAAAGTATAGTAATCCAATCTCACTTCTTAAAAAATGTCAGCTACTTTAAATCAATACATGCAATATAAGCTGGTTGAGCCAAATAGCTTACCTCTGCACAATGCCAAAATGAATACACTGTTCTTCCAAAAATGTACAGTTCTGTGCTAAGTTGTAGCATGAACTCTCGTAAGAGGAGTGTGTGTTAGTACAAGCTCCAGAGGGCAAAAGCCTGCAAGGTTTGAGTGCTGCTGGTTACGGGAGCAGCTAACAGCTTTTATATGTCACAGCATGCAGCGTCCAGAAAGGGCTGTCTTTCTTAGGGTCTCTTAGCCAAAAACAAAGGGGAGGGGTTTTAGATAGAAAAAAAACAGTGATTGGGTGGCAACCTTTTCATGTGGGTGGTGAGGAAATTGAGTCACACCCACAGCTTACAAAGTACAAACCATAAAAGACAAATCCCTTTTTTTTCTGGGTTTCCACCTTGTCTCTGAGTGGTTAATTTTTCTCATTTAATGTTTTCTAGTCTGGTTCCCATACAAGACAAAAAAAAAAAAAAAGAAAGAAAGAAAGGGAAAAAAGACCGTGGGTTCTTGAAAACACAGATGGCTGAGTAATAAGCACTACATTTTTTAAGGACAGTAAATGACATGGGAGCTGAAAAGAGCAAGCTGATATTAAATCAAGAGATCAGCTCACATAGTTCATCTGGGTGGCCACAAGTATGATTCAAGAGGAATGCCAGGCAAATCGGTATAGCCAGACTATAGCATATGATATTAGGGTAATAGCTGTTCAAATGGTTGCTCTCTCTCTCTGTCTCTGTGTGGCTTTATGCCTCTAATTTATGTACTTGTTTTTTTCTCTCTCACTTCATCTTCCCTTCCTTTTGTTTTCCTTCCTCTACCAGAGTGAGGTCAGTGAGTTACTTGCTCTTTACCTGCCCTGTGTGAACGTGGAGCGGGAAGCTCACAATGAGTGACGGCAGCCAAGACAACATCTGTTTCAGGTTTAGAAGCATATAGTTGAAATGTTAAAGCAGAACATAGCTAAATTTTCTAGGCAGAGTATTGGAGGGCACAGCTCAGGGACCATGAAGAATTTCACAGCAGCAGGAGCAGCCAACACCTGTGAGAAGCGCCTATTAGGAGAATGCTATTGAAGCAAAAGCCAAAGTAAGAACACAAAGTAAGAATTCAGCATGCAAATACCAGTGTAACATCAATGAACAGACCCTCAACGCTGTTACAAGTTGCAATATTAACAAAATGTGGACCACTGACAGTCAGGTGCAGCAGAGGACCTGGAGGAACTGCTATGTACTCAATGTAGAAATAGCAAAGATTGGCTTGTTCTGTTTAGTAATGGGATTGTCTTCTGCAATCTCAGCAGAAGCACTATGCAGATTTACAGTCATCAGGAATGATGATCCTGCGACACACCGGCCTGAGAACCAGCTTCCTAGTGTTCAGGCTCAGTGAAATCACAGCACTACGTGGTGCCTAAAGCATACTTTTAAACTCTTCATGGGTGCATTTGAAAATGGAGGGGAAAGGTATGTGTTCTGCGGGGAACCAGATTTAATCAGATTCCTTCAGAGGGCAGTAAGGCGTTTGAAACCCAAACTCCACTGATGTTCAAACTACATTGATGAACCACACACTTGGATAGCAAAATTAGGTTTCAGAACACAGGTTTTGCCACATTTAGATGAACATTAAGCTCCCAACTAAAGTGAAATCATTTTAGAAGAGCTCAAGTTGTCACACGGAAAGCTTTAAGCAAAGAATTACTGAACACAGTGAAACTGACAGGCAAGAAAGAGATGAGCAGGAATAGCATGAAACATTAGAGCAGCTGAAGGGAATGCTCCTGGTTGCTCACAGCTGCAGATTTTTAACTGGAGCTGTCCAACTAGGGTCTCAGCCCTTCTAAACCTACTCATGGTAGCTGAATGAATCTCATGTATGACATATATGAAGAATGATGACACACTCCCTGTTCTATGATCACTGGACTTTTTGAAAGATTACTGTTGGCCTAAGTGAGTCTATACATTCTGCATATCTCAAACAGCTGCCCAGCAGCAGAGAACTGAACGGCTTTCAATGACTGAACACCAGGAATGACCTTTTCTCCCTAAAGGGTTGCTAAGTTGTCTTCTAGATCCTCATGAAAATCAACATTGCATTCAAGAGTGCCTCCTTTGTCATGTACAAAAAGATACATTGTCTACCTCTTGGAGATTTAGTTGGGGGATTTCCACCAGGAGGAAAATATGGTCCTTGCGAAACATGTCCAAACCATAAATGGATTTCCTCTAAGGAGGAATGGAGAAAGAGAAAGAAAAAGAAGGAATTTTAAAAGAAGGACTTACATAGGAGATCACCTCTTTGAGCCCAGTTTCAGAGAGGCAGATCTGAAAATTGCTTAATCCTAAAGCCCAGAGGCAGGTCAATGATTTCAGATGTCTTTCGACACATATGGATTATATTGTGGAATTTCAGACTATTAAGGAAACCCACAAGGCTACGGAATTATAAGAGAAAAGACCTGTGGGAGGAGAGTTAAGAGTTCTGCTCCCAAGCAGACACTATTACCAGAAAAGTCTGTGAAATGCTTTGGAATCTTAGTTTTAAAATACTTGCAAAATTAAGAGGCATGCGTCCAAGTTGTCAGTACGAGAGCTATTAATGAACAACTAACAATGAGGTGGTTCTTTATGAAAGCTCTTCTTGAGAAAGACCACTGATGTGCTTTGAAATCTTGAGGACTGCCTGCCAGCAAAGACAGAAGTGGGATGCAGTTGTATTACTGAGCAGAAATCCGTATATAGTTGGCAGCACCATGAAACTTATGAGAAAATGGGGGATGGGACTTAAAAATTGAAATCAGAGACACTGCTACTGTCTCAGAATGGCACATTTGCCAAGATACTTTGGGTGTGTGTGTCTCTGTGTGTTTGCACTTGTGTGTACATATGTGCATGTGATGTCGTAACTACAGTCTTTCCAAATAAAATGTATGGTATGAGCTAGCAGTACCAATATCTTCTGTTAGGAATACAAAATTTCAGGTACCACTCAAGACCCACTGCATCAGAATCTTCACTGTGTCAGAGTCCTCAAATGATCCTTACTCACATGAAAGTTTGAGATGTATCCCCTGACTCAATTTTCAGAAACACAGAGACACAGCCTACTCTGTTGAATAAGCTATGGTATAAGTCCGTTACCTGGTGATACAGGGAGAAATAAGACAGTATAGGTATATATAAATATCTTTGAGGTGGCAGACATAAGTCAGGGTCTATTGTATAAAAGAAAAAAAGACTCAGAATGGTATGCACATATAATCTCCTCAAAGAAATCGTTTAGCATTGGTGAGCAAATCACTGTATAAACTCTATTTTCTATTTAATATCTATTCATTTTCAAAGGTCATGGAAACAACGGAACTTAGTTTATGTGGAAGGGTTTATAAACTGGGGCATGTCATGTGAATAGAATCCATTCTTTTATTCTGTCACTCCCAGAGACTCGAATCACTCTCTGTTCCTCACTCTTTCTTGCTTTGTTGCAGGGAAAGCATGTGACATTTTCTATCTGAAATATCTTATCAGTCTACTCCTTTTTCTTTCACGTTACTGTGACTGCTTCAAGATAACCTCGTATCTTTTCCTCAGGTTAGCGCAATCACTTTGCAGCTGATATTGTAATGTGTGTGTCTCTTGTCTCATCTATGAACATTTCCTGTAGTTGCCTTCGGTAATGGTTGACGCTGGGAATCAAACTGACTGAGTCAAGGACACTAGATGCCTGGTAAGGCGTTTATTTACTTACCTCCCATCTTTGCATTCATTATTCTCAGTGCTTTAATGGGACGGAGACAGTTATTTTACTGATAGGGAAGTCTATGTGGTCTGGGGTCTGGTCAGAATGCTTAGGCTGCTGCGGTGGGTCTGAGATTGTTTTCAGAAGAGATTGGTGTGTGAGTTGGTGGCTGAGAGGGGCCATTCTGTCTTCAGTGTGGGCAGACACCATCTAATTGGCTGGGGGACCAGATAGAACAAAAAGACAAAGGAAAGGTGAATTCTTGCTCTCTACAATGTAGGGATTCTTCTTCTGTCCTTGGACATCAGAACTGCAGGTTGGCTAGCCTTGGGACTCCAAGAATCACACCAGCAGCACCTCCCCAACCCCATGATTTGGGGCCTTCAGCTTTGGACAGAGAGGTGTACCATGGACCCTTGGTTCTCAGCTCTTCAGGCTTATCCAGAACTTATTCAGACTTTTATAGAACCATATTCTCAACTTCCATGGTCACCCAGCCTATCAGGGGACATCTCAGCTTTCATAATCAAGTAAACCAATCCCTCTAATAAATCCCTCCACAGATGTTTCTGTCTACATCTTACGGATTCTGTTTCTCTGGAGAACACCGTCTAATTACCCCTACTCACTCTCTACTTCCTTCACTATAAGCCAGTGTGCTTATTCACTGGGCAAATGGCAGCCTTCTTGTTTCTAATGGTGTAATTAGTACAATTACACGTGCCATTTGTGAAAAGAGTTTAGCAAGCAGATGATGCTACATGCGTGGTGTATTAAGTTCCCTTTAGCAAATTACTTTTTTATTTAATTACAAGTCTCACAGCATCTAGGATCATGGACATCTACAGATCCAGCAGATTTCCTAATATCTTTTACCTCTCTAGTTTAATAATTACTACTCAATCAAATAGAGACTTAGCAGGTAATTTGATGCAAAGTGGACATTTTGCAAAACAAAAAACAGGATATGTCAGTTTATTCTGAAATTGTTCAGATGAAGTGGGTAAAGAAATAAAGCAAATGATAAAGCAAACAGGTGATGATAGGTATATCTGGGTTAATGGTGTGTGGGAATTATCTGAATTATTCTTGTAACCTTATAATCTGGAGATTATTGCCAAGTAAAAGTTAAATTAATACAATTTTTTTATTTCCTTATAACAGAAAAATGAATGATAAAATGTTTTAATATCTAATGCATTAAATACTTCCATTTGTAATGATATTGAATTTATTAGATTCAGAAAATTAAAATAAACTTAAAAATAGTTTCAAATTTTGAGCTCCTAATTAATATTATATGCCATGCATAATATATAATTATAGAATATAATATGGCATGTTATACCAATATTTAAAATATTATTATTTAGTAAGCTTTATAAATGAAGTATACAATAAAGAACTGTACATGTTTTATG